AGTGAAATGTCTGATTGGGGCCTGCATGAAAAATTTGGAAAATCTGGACTCTTGAATTTCTAGGCAAACAAGCTTATTTTCTCTCTGGTCATGAATCATCAGTTATGTTTATTTGTCTTTTGCTTGGTAAAAAGCACTAAACACGAACTGTTTATTATTTGGTAAATGCAGAGATTTCACCACACAGATACTGGACTTATACCCACTAACTCTAAAAAAAATTTGTTTATTTGATGGTTTTCAAATAAAAACTGATATTGAAACAGGCAGACTATTACTAAATAGTTCTTTAGAACTTAATAAGATTGCTGATTTTAATAGTATGGGCACCATTTCCACTGGTGTAGCTTCTGACCTCTCTACAATTTAGCAAATGGTACTTCATGAGTTGCACCAAAACAAAACAAAGCAAAACAAACCCCTTTATTATTTGGTGGCTAAACTCCCAGAGATGAGGTCCCCAGACCTAGTCTGGGTCTCAGATTAGATATACACAGTTCTTCACCAAGCCCATATTCTAAATCAAGGGTTCTTAGCCTTTTTTGTGACATTGACTCCTTCGGCAGTCAGGTGAAGGCTGTGAACCCATCCTTAGAATCATGCTTTTAAATGCATATAATAATAATAAAAAAGAAAATAAGAAGAAAAAAACACATATAATAAACTATAAGATTACAAAATAAAGCAATTATATATGTACATGTGTGTGTATATATATTATATATACATATATACATATATATTATATATATATACATATATACATATATATATATATATTTTTTTTTTTCCCCTGTACAAGTTCATGGACCTCCTGAAGTCTATCCACAGGCCCCTTGGTGGTCCATGGACTCCAGGTTAAGAACCCCCTTCTTTAAGACTTTCCATCTTCATAGAACTTAAACACAGCTTGGGATGTAGATGGTATAAAACTCTGAGAGTTCATGGTCATCTCCACACCGCACGGAGGAAACAACCTGGGACATTAGTGGAAATGTTGTATATGTACCGTTGCAAAATGTTAGAACACTAGGGCTACTGAAATGGACTTACATACTTAGGTATAGGCCATGTGAGAATGTGACTGGATTCCTCTATGAGCCATCCTAGCAAAGGATATTCTGCATAACATTGTCAGACTGTCATCTTGCAAAAATATCCATTTGATTATAAGTTCCTGGAGGGCAAGGATTGTCTTTCCTTTTCGTATATGCTTAGCACAGTGCCTGGCATACTGTAGGCATTTAAATGTTTATTGACTATTGACTATCTTTGATATATTTTAACCAAACTCCATTGTAAAGTCCTGAAATGTTGCTACTAGTATCATCTATCTGATCACTCATTTATAACATTTAACCCCAGGAAATAATGGCTCCATATAGTATTGTTTCACCTAATGTTGCATTTTCTATTGGGGAACCAAGTAACAACAGTAGACAGGGTTACATGCCTGTATGAATATCTTATGACACGGAGAGACAGTGAAGTGCAGGGGAAAGACTTAAGGATCTGTAATTAGAAATCTTGGGTTTGTACTCTGGCAATATCATTTACTACTTAGACCAAGTCACATCAAGTCACTGTTGTAGTCCTCAGTTTCTTCACTTTTAAAATGAGAGTATTGTACTAGCTGACTTCCAAGACCTCTAAATTAATGATGCAAAGGTGTTATTTTCTAATTTTTTTTTAAAGCAGCAAACATAGAATGGGGAGAGAAATCACACAGTCCAAGGAAACAGGTATTTAGTTTATTGCTTGGAAGAAAATAGGCTGAATAGTTAATATCAATACTTTCGAAATAGAAAGCCTTTCAATTTTATTGAAATGTTATTATTATGCAATAGAATTAAGGCATGATAGGCATCATACTTTTTGGGGGGCTTTAAATGTACTATTTGAATGGAGGAATCTACCATAAAAACAAAACATTTATGTAGTCTTGACATTATGTTTTGAAAATTAAATTTTATTTTTTTAATCCAGAAAAATCTATCCTCCTCACCGCCATGAGATTGAAAGAAAAACAAAGTTACACATATTTAATCAAGCAAAACAAATGTCTGAAATGACCATATCTAAAAGAAAAATTATACATATAAATATTATATATGTCTCCTTCTATACTCTGAGACTTTCATCTCTCTTTCAGAAGGTAGCTAGCATGCTTGATCCTCAGTCCTCTGAAAATGTGGTTGGTCACTATGTTAATTAAAATTCCTAAACCTTTCAGAGTCGTTTGTCTTTACCATATTGTTGTCATTGTATTAATTGTTCTCCTGGTTCTGTTCACTTCACTCTGCATCAGTTCATGCAAATCTTCCCAGGTTTTTCTGAAAATATCTCTTTCATCATTTCTTACAGCATGAGAGTATTTCATCACATTCATACCATAACCCACATATCCATTCCCCAATATATGGGGCCCCCTCAGATTCCAATTCTTTGCCACTTCAAAATGAGCAATAAATATTTTTGCACGTCCTTAGAGTTTATTTTGCTTAGTAGTAATCCTTCCCTGTACTGACCCTCTTTCTAGCTCTCCCTTCTCTCTCCTATTTCCTTGTTGAGTGAAATGCATTGCTGTACTCAATTATGTGTTTTACATAATTTAAAAAGATTTTTTAAAAAATTCAATCTTGTTTTCAGGTCTATGTTCCTAGCTTCCCTTCTCCTTTTCTACTCCCCCTCTCCCTGCATTGAGAAAGCAAGAAAAATAAATCCCTTGTTACAAACATGTATGGTCACACAAAATAAATTCCTGTATTGGTTGTGTCAAAAAAAAAAAGCATCAATCTGTATTGTGATTGACATGGTTTTTTTTTTTTTTCTGTTTGTTTTTTAAAGAGGTTATGTGATTTAATGGATAGAGGAACTGGTCTTGGGTTCACAAAGACCTGGGTTCAAGTCTTGTCTCTGACACATAATGGCCATGTGACCATGGGCAAGTCGTTTAACATATCACTGTCTCTAATGACATATTACATGTTACAGACCATATGCTGACTTGCATTGGGAAAGGTCCTTGGGCTTTCTCACTGGGGGCTCCCCACACCTATGAAATCATAGGTCTTTAAAAAAAAAAACAATGCAAATTGAAACTCCAACAAAAACAAAACCACTAACCTCAAACCCAAAAGATTAAAGCAGGAAATGTCTGCTGAGGCATGAATTTTTCAGCCGCAGCATCTCCTGAAGACCAATGACCGCCATGACATGGAGGTATTATGAGATCTATGTTGGTGGAGGGAGGACAGATATGGAGGGCCTTTGAAGCACTGAGATGGCGATGTGGGAAGATGACTGGATTGGATGTTAGGATGCCAGGCTCTGTTACTAACTCATTTTGTGACCCTGTTTAAGTTACTAATTGTCTCAAGGATCCAGAGCTAAGAGGGCCCTTAGAGAGACTATCTAGCCCAGGGATGGGGAACCTGCAGCCTCCAGGCCACATGTGGCCTTGTAGGGCCTTTGGTGCGGCCTTTTGACTGAGTTCAAGCTTTACAGAACAAATCCTTTTAATAAGGGCATTTGTTCTGTGAAGTTTGGATTCAGTAAAAGGGCTTAAGGACCTAGAAGGCCACATGTGGCCTTGAGGCCACACGTTCCCCACCTGTGATCTAGTCCAACCTTCTCATTTTACAAATTAATAAACTGAGGTCCAGGGATGTGAAGGGACCTGACCAGAAGCCACAAAGGTAGTAAGGATCAGAGGTAGGAGCCTCATTAATAATATTAAAGTGTTGGTCTGGATAAAATCATAGGCGGAGAGAGCTGAGATGGAGATTTTAGATCTTCCAGTCCAACTGTTTCATCTCATATTCAACAAATGAAGAAACTGAGGTCCAGGTGGTCAAGTGACAGGTTGTTGTTGAGTCATTTTCAGTTGTGTCTGACTCTTTGTTAACCTATTTGGGATTTTCTTGGCAGAGATCCTAGAGTGGTTTAGGCCATTTCCTCCTCCAGCTCATTTTCCAGATGACGAAACTGAGGCAAACAGGGTAAAGTGACTTGCTCAGGGTCACACAGCTAGTAAGTGTCTGAGGCCAGATCTGAACTCAGGAAAATGAGTATTCTGATTCCAGGCCTGGCACTATAACCACTGCACTATCTAGCTGCCTAAGTGACAGAACCAGATGTAAAACCTAAGTCTAGTGATTTCTGCTATCCCAACCTATCTCCTATGATCTCTAAGGTCACTTTCAATTAGAAGATGCCACCACATTATATAATAATTCAATCTAGAGATAACAATTTTCTGAAAAGTTCCATTATCCCAAACTTTTTCTTATTGAAAAATAAATGATCATTTTCTTCTATTGTGTCACAGCTTAAGTAAATAATATTCCAGTTCTAAAAACTAGGTATAAAAGTAAGAGAAAGAACCAAGTGTAGAAAAGAAAAAACACATTAAGAATTTGAAAAATTAATATTGAGCAATTGTGGGAATATCTAGGCTGGTCTAGGGTAGACATAAACTGCCTTGTTTTATTCTAAATTCAGCTCACTGGTTTATGTTGAAAAGTGAAAGGTTATTATATGGACTTACTGGGCAAAACCAGATTTTATAAATAATTACCTGTCAGGCTGTTCAAGATAGACAAACATACACCAGACCAACAAAAACATGGATCTGTCATATTTCTGAGAGAAATGTGTGTTGAGTCTTCATTCTCTGGATTTCAAGTAGATCAGGTAAAACAAAATGAAAAAAAATCCCAAACTTATATTTTCTGTCTCATTCATGCTTTTAAATGGAAAAAGGGGGGGGGGGAAGAGTGATACATCTAGAAAAGGAATTTTGATGTGAAAAAAACAGCCCCTGAAAATTTTATTCCCTTTATAAGCCTGGCAGATTGAAACCAAATACAATAAATGCTGTCCTTTTAAAAGTTGGGATGTTTACTGCAAGCTTATAATTTTCCATGATTAGGGATGCCAAGAAAAATAAGAATGATGATAAAAAGAAAAGTTTAATCATACATTTCAACAAGCACAGATGGAACATCAAAACCCCTTGGAAATCTTACTATATTATATATCCTAGTTTTTAGTTCCTGCCATTCAGATTTTTTCCAGAAGTAGCAACACTCAGCAGGTAAAGGAGAGTGAACTAACAAGAATAATATGGAGCGATCTCATATGCAATTATTATGGAACAGTTTAAGTATTTACTCACAAGGAGGCGATGACAAATGATTTTATTTCTCACTTTTATTCATTCTTCACAAAGGTTTCTTGGAAGTGTATAGAAACAATGATGAACACAGGATTGTGAAATGTACATCACTGAAGACAAAATTTCCTCTTATCTAAGTTCTATGGGTATCGATAACAAGTTCAATCAAAAAGAATTACAAGTATTACAAATTTATATGGAACCAATGCTATTTTTTCTGCATATAACAGTATTTTCTACTTTAGAAAGCATGTAAGAGAAAGGCAAAATATAGAGCCACTGTTAGGAAATGGAGGTCAAACTCTCTGGATAGGCCTTTCAAGGCCTGTATCTCACACTTCTATCAAGAGTTTGTTTTCCTTCTCTAATATCCCCCTGGCTTTGTTGAGTCCTGAAATGGTACCATTTTCCAATCTTTTGATTTGAGAGGAGAGTGAGAATAAATGTTATAAAAGAGAAAAATAGAAAGAATGGGTAGAAGAAATGCAAGAGGGAAGAAAGGAGGCAAAAGAAAGGAAACAGTAGTGAAAGCAGAGAGACTGATGGAAGAGAAAGTAAGGGTCAGAAAGGGCCAGGGCCAGACGGATGACCCCCATCTGAGCATTGGTAACTATTCCTGATATGGATATTCATTTTTAAAAATGGAGATATCACAGATAAATATTAAAAAGAAAAGTTGTTGCAGCTTTTGTTTTCTCTTTTTTGTCCCAAAGTTAGATTACAAAATGTATCAATGAAAATATGCAGACAATACACAGACACACAGACACACAGACACACAGACACACACACCATGGTTTTTTATATAGGGGAGTCCACAACAGTAAATCCATTGCAAATTTCAAAATTCTGTGATTTGCATTCTTGTCCACCTACACACTATCCCAAACATCCTGCCATTAATTAGCACAGTGTTCCATCTGGTAAACAAGAGGAATCATTGAGGGGGCTGGAAAAGAGCTGGAGTCAGCCTGGTGATAGTCACAACAAAACAGCAGGCTCCTTAGCAGATGGAGAACTCAACCTGTATCTCTGCCCCGTCTCCTCTCCACTGACAGGCCAAAAAAATCACCATCATAGAACATTGCCTTTCCTGCTGCTGTAGTCATATCCACGTCCACATTAGCAGGCTAAGAAAGTCATTCCATTTCCGCGGTAGGCACTCTGTCAAAAGAGAAAGAAAAGCTGCAATGAATTATCACATCAGCTCCAACAAGGAAAAGGAGGCCAGAGGAGAGTAGAGCCTCCTTCCTGTTTTAGAGACCATGCTGGCTGCAATCTAAGAGTGGGCTTAATCTGAACATTTCTGGTGGTGAAACCATAAGCAACTGCTTTGTCTGTTTAAAAAAAAAATCAGTGTGGTTAACAAGTGGTTAGTGCTTCTATTTCAGGCAAGCAGTAGATATGCAAAAATATGACATCCCGCTTTGTTAATTGACTGGGCCTGGTGTGGAAGGGATGTTGTGCTGAATCTGCTGGTCCTTTATAGGCATATGTTCTCTATTCACCATGCTCAAGAATCACTTCTAACTCAAGTATCTTAATAGTCTATAAATCACTGACTCATTATAGTCTTCCCAAGGCTAATTTATGGGCCCAGTCCAAAGCTATGTAAACAGACACTAATCGAGTCCTCTTGCTTTCTCTCTTCCCACCCCCTGCCTCACCCCAAATAAAGTGGGCTCAGAGGAGCTCTGTACAGTAGGAGAAACTTTGATCTTTCATAAGATGATGGATTGTATATAGAGGATGAGATTCAATCTTTTCATTAGAGGAAATGGAAACAATAGGTAGTAAATCCAAGCTTATGCAGAGACATAATCAATTCAAATTTAAAAAGACAAGTCAGCATTTTTTTCACTCTAGACTACAGTGAAATATCACTTTTTCTTTCATTGACAAGACAGAGAAACAGAGGCACACTGTTTAGGTGACTGGTCTGAAATCACAGATTCAGACCCGGGTGAGGCAGAATAAAAATCCAGGTCTTTTGAATTAAAACTGTCCTGCAAACCTTGATACAGAACATCCAATAATTTAAATACTTAAAGTTATCAGTAAGACCTTTGGTGATTCGAAATTTTTTGCTTATGTTGCACTTTTGAGGGAGAAGATGTAAATGATGGAAAACAAGCATTGCAGAATCAGAAGTTCATGAGAAAAAACAAATTAAAAACCTCTAGGGAATGTCCTGAGGTCAGGAGATAATCAGGTGAACTCTCTCATCCTTAACAGCTAGACTCCAGCTAAGACGCTATAGGAAGGATTTATGTTTAGAATGATGATATAAGGCATGGTTTAATCTTTAATCTTTAAAAATGACTGAATGATATGCAGTGCACTATGATTACTAAGGCAAGGATAATTAGATTATTGGAATGTGACAGATTCAGTATCCCCAGATTTCAGTAAGGCATTCGACAAAGTCTCTCATGATACTCTGTTAGGCAAGATGGGAAGATGTGGGTTGGATGCTGACACAGAATTTGTAGTTCGTTGAGTGGCTAGAAAGAGCCTAAGAGTGTTGATTAGTGGATCATCAACAAAGAACATAGTGTGGGTGCTTAAAAAAATCCAATATGATAGTCTGCATTACCAAAGAGTATCCTGAATCAGTGAGGCAATAGTTTCAGACGGACCCCATTCAGAGTACTGTGCTCAGATCTGGGTACCAAATTTTAAAAGGGACACTGACTGAAGTTCCTCCAGAATGATGAGGTGAAAATAAAACCCCAGTCACCTCAGGATTGTTTAAAGGAACTGGGGATGCTTAGCCTCAAATACAAGGTTTAAGGGAGGCACAATAACTGTGTTCAAATTTCTTAAGGGTTTTCTCATGGAAGAGAGATTAGACTTACTTTGTATAGCTCCAGGGCACAGAATTAGGGCCAGAAGGGTAGAAGTTACAGGGAGACAGATTTCAGCTCAACATAAGGAAGAATTTTCTAAAAATGACAATTGTCAATGATTGAAATGGACTGACTCCTAAGAAAATGAGTTCCCTGTCATTAGAAGTATTTTAGTAGTAGTTGGATGGCCACTTCTTAAGGCTGCTTTAGGGGGCAGAGGTTGGACTAAATGACCTGTCCAACGCCTTCTAACTCTAAGACTATCGCTGACACATTTTAGATGAACTGTCAACGAGTGCAAAAACACAAAAAGGATCTCTTGTTTATCAGAACATTTGATTAACTTCATTCCCTCCAAGTATTGCAATTAATCTTACTTTGTGCTTGTTTAACCATGAGTATATTGCTCTCTTCTCCCAGTGCCTGCTGAACCCTCATCTGTTGGCTGTTCCCAGGTGCAGTTCACTCTCGATGAATCGATCAGGAAAGTGGAAGCACAGAACGTGTTTCTATCTTCACTTCTTTGAGCTATGTTCTGACCTTGCTCTACACTTGTCCCATACTCCATTTCTAGACCAGAATGAATTTTCTAACACGGACCAGTAGGATCACACTTCCGCCTCCAGACTGTGCACTGAAGAATAGTGTTAAATGAGCTTCTCAGACAGCCACCAATAACTTTCAGAAATGGATAAAGTGTCTCCCCACAACCACAAGCGAGGAAGCCTCAGGCCTTGAAGCTGCTCCTTCCACCACGGTCGCCAAAATAATACTTGGAGCTCCCGGACCTTGATATTTTTAAATTTTACAACCACAGTGACAACCTTTAACCTAAACATGATATTTAAAATGCCTGTACAGTTTACACCGAGATAAATGAACCTGAGTGTAAAGTTGGATTCCTATGAAAGGTAAATGGCTGAATTCTGCCCTGTTCAGGAAAGGGTTTTTGGCTCAAAGGTAGCTGTTGGCTTGGCTGAGTTCACCTAAGAAATAATCAAGTTTAAAAGTTTCCAAGCTGGCCATTAGTGAATGAGTGCCCCATGCCACTGGAAAGGTCGCTTTCTGAACATCTCTTCCAAGAGTCTTCCACTGTAGTTTATGTTCCTATAGCTTCATGTCATATGACAGATGTGGACTGGAATGAATATTCTAACATGGACCAGTAGGATTCATTCTCTGGAACAACAACTAACAAATACCATTCTCATATATCATCATGTTACCTTTGAGATGAGTCAAATGACATGCTATTGGTGTTAGGTTCTAAAACAAAGAGAGAAAAGGAAAAAAATGGGAATATGGAGTATGAAGGCAGTTTCACAAAATTATCTCCCGGGGTGTTGCTCAGTGTGAAGTGGTAGGAAGAGGATGGAACTGGGTGTCATGAGACATGAGTTCTAGTCTTATCCCTGTCAATAAGTCTCCATTTGGCTTTGAGTGAGTCATTTCTCTTTTCTAGAATTCAGTTTCTTCCTCTGTAAAATCAAGTTATCTTAGAGACAGCATAGTGTAGTAGATGAAGCTCTGGACTTGGAAGTCATGAAGACCTGGATTTCAACAGTTCCTAGTTGTCTGATGATTGGCAAGTGCCTTAAATTCCCTGTGCCTGAGTTTCCTTATCTGTGAAATGGGGCCAATAATAGCATCTGTCTTCCTAGGATTAATGTGAGGATCAAAATGAAAAAAAAAAAAAAAGATTTGTAAAAAACCTCAGAGTGCTATATAAATCTCAATTATTTATATTTTTATTAAGGTCTCTTTGAGCTCTGTGAATCCATTTCTTTCTTTTAGCATCAAATTAAATTGAAAGGTGTCAGCATGATCAGTAGCATAGTCTGAATTTGAATCAGCCTTGGGCCTTTATCCCAGAATCTGGGCAGGTAATGACCATGGGCCCAGGGGTGTGCTATCAATCAGTTGGGTTTAGATGTGAGCTATAACCCTCAATCTCAGTTAATTTTCATTCTGGTATGGTAGAGCTTTTAGGGATCTGAAAAGGAAAATCTTATAGTGCAAGATCTACACATTTACCTGAACAAGAGAATTATGAGAATTTCTCCATCTCTGGAGTATTTCCCATAGTGAAAAACTACGGATGAATTATTGAAGAGGAAGACGATACCTTTTTGCCATTTGTGAACTTCAATTCCATAAATTCTACAAAACCAGATTTAAATATTTTATTCACATAAGTAGGGCAGTGTAATTTACTGGAAATAGGCTACCTTGGAGTTAGGAAGACCTTGGTTCCCAGTCTGCTTCTGACACTTACTACGTAGACAAGAAACTTAACCTGTCTGTGTCTCAGTTTTCTCACTGGTAAAATGAGGAATTATAAATGTATGGTATGATACAGTACATACTAACTTCATGTTCTGGAGCACATTATTTAACCTCATAGTGCTAAGGCAACTCTTGGAGATCATATTAGAAAGGAAACTCCTTGAGGGCAGAGGTGTTCACTTTTAGTGTCTGTATTCTCTGCCCCTCACATATCTCCTGCTTGCTGAATGATGAATGAATAGATAAACTGTACCAGCTGCAAATGAGTTTTGGGGATGGAGTTTCACAGTTCCCTAGGTCCAAATTTTGTCATCCTTCTCCACCCTCAGGGAGATTTCTTCCCTGTAGTCTTGTAAGTTTCCATGAAACTCCTCAAGTCACTTTTGTTTCACTTTCCTCTTAATAATTTCACAGGTTGGTTTAATGGGAAAAACAAACAAACAAAAAAACAAACAACTAAGACCCCCTACTCACTGTTTAATACTTAACACAATTAAGTACACATTTGGTCCAAACAGCCAACCAACTTGCTTATTTATATATACTGGTTTCTTAAATTTTAATCCTACCAACAGCTTTATTATTGATTGGTGGCAATGTTGTGCCCTTATCCAATGATAATTCGGGTGAAAAAAAGCTCAGAAGCGTATTAAGCATCTCTGAAAGTTGGCAAAGCAAAATGGTCATAAGGCAGGAAGGAGGGAGAATCAACTTTAGTTTTTAAGACTTTTCACTCATGATTCTCTGTAGTTCTTAATTTCTATCTAAACTCATGAGGGCATTTTCCATGGTCTGCTGGTTTAACATTGCTTTATGTGATTACATCTGTACTACTCCTGATAGGTGGACACAGATGCTATTGACTGGAAATATTTCAGTGTTGAATTGGTCAAATCAAAATATGCAGCCTTGAAAATACAGTTCACTGCAGGAGACCTATCCAAGGCAAATTTTCAAGTCTCATTTCTCAGGCTGGTATCCTTACTTCATTTCACCAGGACACTCATGGGCCATCATTATTTTGTACAT